GCTGGATTCGAGGAGACATACCAAGCAGGGGCTGTGGCAACCAGCTCATCTCCACGGATGGATATAAAGTGAAAGAAGAGAGCCGAGTTTCCAGCAGGTACCAGCTGACTGGACGACTGGACGAAGGCGACGTTTCTATGACGATACTGAAACTCACAGAGGACGACGCTGGACGCTATGGATGCAGAGTGGAAATACCCGGGTGGTTCAACGACGCCAAACATCACTTCGATCTGACCGTTAGAGGCAAGAAGCAACTTGTTCTGTCTGTTTTTAGGCACATTTTCAGTTTAAACATAAAAACATCTGATATGAAATTTGATATTTTCCTTCAGAATTCTAAATAAATCTGATGGATAGTTTTCACAAAGCAGAAAACCTTCATCAGACCATGATGTGGTTTACTTTGGTTTACTGGCAGCAATAACGTGGTTTAGTGTCACAACTGATCTTTATTTTTAGCTTCAATGAATCTCTGAGTTATCTGCTTTGGTCATAAAATGGTTTTGTCCTCAACACAAAGATATTCAGTTTACTGTCATAGAGGCCCTCCCTCTTCCTCCTGAAGTCCAGCACCAACTCCTTAGCCTTTGAGGAGTTGTGCCAGATTATTGAGAGGTTCAAGACCTCTTCTCTGTAGGCCGTCTCATCATGACTTTGACCTATTTACATGTTTAGTGGCTGCTGATCATTTCTCTAGAAGATTCTCCACTCTGTTAAAATACAACAACCTCCAACTGAACATCAACAACAACCGATTTGACAGAAATCATCCTGATTCTCAAATCTGCTGGAGGCGACCCAATCAGAGCTAAAAATCAGGTTTAATTCAAACGTTTATACATTTCAACTGAAACCAGCCAATCACAGAGCTTAAAACTCAATCATGTGAGCTACTTACAGCAAAGGAGACCTGAGGTGTTAGAAAGCTCGTAAGCTTGAGCAACTGCAAGCTGCAATCACACCTGCAGTCTCTCCAAGAATTGTGTTTGTAGTTATTATTTGGGTAGTGGTGGTTCAGCAACTCCTAAGGCTGTGGGCTACTGATCAGACGGTTAAATTAAAATATAAAAACTTAAAGTGGGACAAAGACTGAAGAAAAACATCGACTAAATCCATTTAACATTCCTGTTACAACGATGTTGGTATGTATGTGTTTGTACTTTTAGCCTAATCAGTGATTTTGTGTTTGTTTCAAAACTAAGATGATTTTACTGTTTATTTAGTTTTTGTTCAATTTTAAAGTTTTTCCTTATAGTTTCTCTATATTAACCCTAGGTGGTTCTAACAAGCAGGTAGTGCTAACTAGCAGGTGGGGCTAACTAGCAGTTGGTGCTAACTAGACTTAGCCGCACTTAGTTCTTTCTCAAATAAACAGATACAAATTAATATTATTTTAAAACAAATAAAGTTATGAAATGAATGAATAAATGAAATGAAAAATACTTTATTTATCCCAGAAGGGAAATTCAATT